CGTGTGTGTGTGCGTGTGTGTGTGTGTGTGTGTGCGTGTGTGTGTGTCTGTGTGTGTGTGTGTGTCTCCGTCGCCCCGTCGTCCTTCCTCCCCCTCCTGCACGGTGGCGCGATTCGCTTAACGTTGCCCTCTTTCGCTCCACTCGCCAGCGCAATCACTCTGCCTAGCCGCTGACGCAACACAGTGTGTGCGTGTGTGTGTGTGTGTGTGTTCGCTGTTTCCCACCCATCTGAAGCTTCCAACCTTGCAGGCTAAAACTCAGGCGTCCACACATGATAATGTGTGTGCACATGTTTACATCTCTACTTATATGTCCATAGAGCAAAGACAGATCTGTTCACACATGTGGCGATCTCCATCTGGCGGATCTGTATGCGTGATCTCGCCGGTGGTCTATACACATGCGTACGCCTATACACAGGACAAGATGAACGCCAACGGGGGCCATTTTCAGTTCCAGCTGAAGCCGAGCATCGGTGGTGGCCAGGCATTTCTGGGGCCGCGGCTAGCTCTTGCTGCTAATCCTCCCCCCTCTTGATTCCGTACTCCTCCTCCTCCTCTGCTACTGCTGCCGCTGCCCTTGCCTCTGCTGCCCCTCTTGTCCAATCGCCTCGTTTGCGCCGCTGGCCCAAATGGCAGGACGGTTGCTACCTGTCGGTGTGTTCGTGGCGACCGAGAAGGAGGATGGGTATGGGGGTGGGGATGGGGATGAGGATGAGGATGACGAGGAGGATGAGGATGAGGATGACAATGAGGAGGAGAAGGAGGCGTATCAGGATGAGGATCAGGATGATGCTGATGCTGATGATGATGAGGAGGAGGAGGATGAAGATGAGGATTAGGATGAGGATGAGGATGGATGAGGATTAGGACGAGGACGGGGATAATGATGATGATGACGATGCTGCTGATGATGATGATGATTCTGATGATGATGCTGATGATTATGATGCTGCTGCTGCGGATGATGTTCATGATGACGACGACGATGATGCTGCTGCTGTTGCTGTTTCTGCTGCTGCTGATGATGATGAGGCTGCTGATGATGATGATGATGATGATGATGATGATGATGATGATGATGATGATGATGATGATGAATACCGATAACATGATGATGAGGAGGATGAGGAGGAGGAAGAAGGAAGAGGATGGGGAGTGGGAGGAGGGGGAGAGGGAGGAGGATGAGGATGTGAATGTGGAGGGGGAGGAGGACACGAGGAGGAGGAGGAGGAGGAGGTGGAGGAGGAGGAGGAAGAGGAGGACGAGGAGGAGGAGGCCTCTTGATGGTTTCTTAGGGCATTCTTGGGGTTAAACTGGGTCGAGGACATGCCGCCTCTTTCGGAGGCTTCTTGGGGTCTCTGCGGGGGCCTCTCGGGGGCATCGTTTGGCAGCATTTTTGGGGCCTCCTGGGGGCTTCTAGGTTCTGGCGGATTATTTTGAGCGCCTCTTGGGGGCCTGTTGGCAGTCAGCTCGACGTGTCAGCTCGGATTCCGCCTCTTGGGGCTCTCATGGGGGGAGCTCTCTTGGGGGGCCTCTTGGGCCGTCTTGGGGCCCTCCTGGGCCGTCTTGGGGCCGCCCTGGGAGCCTCCTGTGCCGTGTTGGAGTGTTGGAGCGACTTTTGGGGTTTCTCGGAGACCTCCTGCCTCAGTTCATGCCCTCTCGAGCCTCCCTGGGCCAGGGGCCATGCTGAAGGCCGTGCGGGCCGTCTTGCGCCGACAGACGCTCGAAGAGGAGGCCGCGGGACCACGCCCCACTGGCGGGGCGCACGTCCGCGGCGGAGTGGAGCTCGCTGCGGCGCGGGCCGGCCAGGCAGCATGTGAAGGAGCGCCGGGGGGCGGGCCAGGCCCCACCCCTGTGCCAGCGGGGACGCGGTCCCCGCGGGTGGCTCGGTGAGGGTGCGCTCGCTGGCGCGCTCGGCCCGGCCCACGCTGTCGCCGTCGGCTAACGGATGCGGCCCTCCGTCTTCCAGGCCGCGGGTGCCCTGCGCTGGAGGGTGACTCCCCCCTCCCTTTTCCAGCCGTTCGGCTGCTGCACCTGCTGTGCTTGGCCCCCTTCTGGGCGAGGCCCGCCGCAGCGTCGCGGCCGCTGCCAGGCGGACGGGGGGGGGCGGGGCGCGGCGGGATCCTCTGACGGGCATGGAGTGTCTGCGAGGTGGCTCGTTGCCGCTGCCACCGCGCCAGCTTTGCCGCAAGTTTGGTCCAGGCGTGCCTCGGGCGCGGACGCGCCCGCCGTTGGGCGGGCCCGTCCGGCGTGGGCTTCCAAGCCGAGCCGACGCAGGAGGCGGCGACGGGCCGGGGCGAGCGCCCTGGGTGGGGCGTGAGCTCGAGCGAGCCGCTGGCCCGCACCCTACGGGGCGCCGGCCCGTCTGGGAGGTGGCGGGCCGTGGGATGGCGGGCTCCGCTCCGGGCGCAGGCGCAGGTCCAGGTCCGCCCCACGGGGCGTGGAGGCCACTTTGCCATCGGCAAGGTCAGAGGCCACGGGGGGGGGTCTGGGTGGCCCGCTCCTCCAGGCCACGCCCGGGCTCCTGTCCCAGGGCAGTGCCCCAGCTGATCTGATGCGCGCGTCTTGAAACGTAGCACGTGCTGTGTTGGAAGCGTCCGTGTTCAGAAGGCACGTGCTCAATCTGCGTGTTGAGCTCCGCATCAATACGCTACGTGTTGCTTGTTGCGTATCGGGGCAGCTACCCTGCCTCAGACAGTGCCCTGGCCCCAGTGGTTACCCCCAGCGCTACTCCACAAGCGTTTTGCCAGGGCGGCCAGGGGTAGCGTCACAGGGGAGGCTTTCTGGCGTTGTCGGTGGTCCTCCGCGTTTTTCCAGCCTCGGGATGCCTGCCAGCAGCTGGGCCTCGCCGAGAGCGTTCCCGGGGTGCCAGAATGGTCCCGAGCGTCCGCCAGCGAGCCGAGATATGGCCCGAAAGCCAAGGGGCAACGCAAGGAGGTGATAGGATAGGGTGGGTGTGAAGACGAGACCCCGCGGGTGCCCGCTGCCGCCCAGCGTTTGCCCCTAGTCTCATTCGTTTGCCTCCGTATATCGCTGTGGCTTACCAAGGCCCTTGAGTTGTAGGCGGCCAGGAGGAAAACATTTGCGCCATCGATGTTGCCACCGCCGCGTCGCATCTGAAGCCGCATATTCACATCGGTAGCAGAAACAGTTCGAGCCGCGGACTGGCACTCGTAGCAGCGAGGAGTTTCAGCAGACAGCCTGTTGGTGGTGGATTGCCCGCAGTACGACGATTAGGAGGGGACCGGCCAGCAGCACGACCAGTCACCATGGCGCCCAAGGGGGAACCATTCGAAGACGGAAAAAACGGCGCATATGAACAGAGCGCTACCCACCAAAGTGGTCAACATGTTGGAGCGCCCGCCGTCGACCCCAAGACGATGACCATGAAGGACTGCAAAAGGAGAGTGGCAGTGTTCAAGAGACAGGCCCGGCTCCCTGCGGAGAAGCAGGCCGCGGAGCTCTACGCGGAGCTGAAGGGCGACGCCTGGGTGCACGTTGAAGACCTCGACCCGCTGGCGTTGAAGAGCGATGAAGTGGGTCCAGGCGCTGCGCGACTTCCTGGCGGATGAGTTCCCGACGAGAAGGAAATGGAGATGGGCACGAGTTCAATATTTTCGTCACGAAGATGCGCAGCGAGAGCGGCGAGGATATGCGCGGCTACATCAACCGTTTCGACTCGCAAGACTCGAGGCTGAAGATGCTGCAGATCAAGATTACGGACCAAGCGCTGGCGTGGCTATTCATGTGGTGGTAGGGTTTACCGCCAGCTAGAGAAGCTGGAGTGCTGAATGCGAATCTGAACAAGTACGAATTTAAGCCGTTGCAGAAGCAGAACTTGTTCAACGTCAAGGACGAGAAGGCGCTGAATCAGTTCAGCCCTAGAGGCCCGTTCCACCACCGCCCGCGCCAGCGCGCTGTGGACTACAGAGACCTCAGCGCCGCTGGGGTACACGCATCACCGAGAACGACGACGAGGGCGAGAACCACGAGGCCTATGAGACCAACGTAGGCGAATAAGACTTACAGAGGAGCTCGTCGAAGAGGAGGTCGGGGCAGAGGCGGAAGTCTACAAGTTCGAGAACATGTTGGCCAGGGCGAAGGATCGCCAGAAGGGCGCCCAGCAGGCGCGCTGTTTTTACCGTCGAGATCGGCTACCGGGACACGGTAAAGGAGGCAGTGGCAAGGGTGCGAGCTCATCATCCCAGGCGGGAGGTAAGGGCTCGGACCGCATCAATGAGCTCAAGGCCAGGACTCACTGCGCTGTCGGCCAAAAGATTGGACAGCGGAAAGGAGGTCCTGAGTGCCAAGGTCCACGCATGGCTAACAAGACTTCCACCGAGGAGGAGTCGCCAGATGCTGAGGCCAGTAACGAGTAGTACGAGTAGTACTTTACGAGCGTGGGGTGGAGTTCGAAGGAGCAGCAGATATTCAAACAGAGCTTCTTCATCGATGACGTCTTGATGACCGGCGCCGTGAACGTGATAATTGCTACGAAGGAGGAATGGTTGCAGCAGCGCGGGGGCAGTCTACTTCCGGATTCCTGCTGCGCTAAGTCGGTCGGAGGGCAAGTGTGGAACGGCGAGATCGAGAAACGCCTCGCTATGCTAGGGCTCAGGCCGATCAGTTTCGGCGAGCGCGAAGTATTCAGATTTGGAATTGAGGAACCTGTGCTGAATTCGATTGGATCGTTGGTGCCGCTCGCTATTCAGGGGCGCCGCGTCGCGTTGAGGATCTCCGTCGTGCCGTGCCTAGTGCCGGCGTTGCTGTCGCAGCGACCTCTTGGGCGACTGGGTGCTGGTCGTGATCGCGCAGAGGGAGGGAGCTGGAGACAGCGCCGTGCCGTTCAGGAAGCTTTGCGAGGATCTCGAGCTTGGCCAGACCAAGAACGGGCGCCCGAGCTTCGACGTGCTGGAGTTCTATAGGGCCCATCTTGTCACCGTGGCTTCGGATCCGTTCCCCCGCCAGACAGAGATCCGACTGCCCGCCGTCGCAGCGCTGGCGGGGGGAGGTTTAGCAGAGCCCTCGCTCTCATCTTCGGAATCATCGGTCAGACTTGGAGGCCGCCCGAGAACAATCCGAACTACTGCGAGTTTAACGTCGTGGATCTCAAGAGCGATCCGAACAAATTCGAGCGAAACCTCAGCGGCCTCAGGGGCGACCCGAATCGGTGCGAGCTAAACTTCAGCTGCGCCGGGAGTGATCAGAATGAGTGCGAGCTAAGTTTCAAGTGCCTCGACGAATCCGAATCAACACAAGTTCGGGACCAAGTGCCTCGCGACCGATCCGAACGCGTCCGAGATCAGAGCCAACTACAGCACGAACAAGAGCAATCATCACAGCAAGCAGGGGCGCAAGCAGAGCGAGAGAGACGAGTGCGATACGAGGTGCCATATAGTCGTGATGATACAACGCCCCGTCGCAGACCAGTTTTGGTTCTAACTGTTTCAGGAGATAGCGACGTACATATATGCGAGATGCCCA